AGCAGGAATTATAGTTCTCTGACAATCTAGCATGTACACACACACACGCAGCAGAGAGAAGTGGCAGACGACACTCAGTATGGTGCATTCGGAGATGCTCTGCTGTCTAATTTCATTTGTGGAAAATCCTGGTCATGACACGGAATTCACTGCATGACAAACACCGGCTTAGGACAACAGATGCGTACGCACAGTGCAACAACAGATAGAGCACGCTGTACCCCGCTGCTGTGCAGCAGGAGTGCAAGAAATGTTCAGCTTCCTTCTTCCCTGGCTGTGCAGCACACCGGCTGGGAAGACTGTGTGCTGACTCAGACAAACCTGGCTTCGAATCTTGGCTCTGGTACTACCAGACAGAGAAGACCTTGGGCAAGTCCCCTTATGCCCTGCGATGACCTCCCTATCTGAATGGAGACGGGAACAGCTGCTTCTCCATGAGACAACGAATGCCAGGCAGGCAGTAAGCTCTCCGTTAACTCCTATGAGACCCCAGCTCCGGGACCACCAGGCGGGGGAGGCGGGAGCCCGGCAGCCCGCTGCCCTTGAGAAATCACCACCTCCGGCTCCATTCTTCTCTGTTCACCTGCGCCAGCTGAGCGTCCCATAGGGCTAAGGACTGAGCGTCCCATGAGGGAAGAGCCCCTCTTTGGGGTTGGGGGGCCTTCCTTCCTCCCATTTCCATCTTGTCTCTTTGGGATCAGTGCCTCAGTGAGAGGTGTCAGGATAGGACCCAGGAAGCCGGGCTGGGGTGCTCTGTGGCAGGCTTGAGGGTGGGAGGCTCTGGCCCACCTCCTTCCCCACTCACATCTCCGGGCAGGGGGGCCCGGGAGCCCAGAGCAGCGCGTTAAGGGAGCAGGCCGAAAGTCACCACAGGACGCAGCTCTGTGTGCGTCCCTGCGTGGAGCACCTGAGCAGACAGCTCCTGAGTGGGGACAGCTGCTGTGAGAGGCTCCGGGTTTCCACCCTAATAGTGAGATCAAAAGGCATTAAAGACTCCACATTTGTTCTCGGGACGCCCAGAGCAGGGCCTGCTCCTTGCCTGCTCTGCGGCTGGACCGTGGAGGGAAGCTTAGGAACCTCAGCCGGCCTCTGACCTTTCTCCTCTGAGGTGGGTCTCTCTTCTGGGCAGCGAGGAGGAGAAAGAGCCTGGACATGGGTGGGACTGGATGGACATGACCTTGACCAGGGGCGCTCTGTATCAGGCCCCCACGGACACCTTACCTGGACTATTTCCAGGCTCACAGCACGACAAATGGGAAATGCCACCCCATCTCGTAGATGAGGGGCTGAGGCTTATGCCCGAGGCCATGCAGCCATGCAGTGGCAGAGCCAGGAGCTGAGCCACGTCTGCGTGGCTCTCACCCAGCACCAGCTCAGCCCTTCTCTGCCTGCTGTCGCCTACGAGGGG